CCGCACAGCGATATGCTACTTCAGCATGACGCTCAGCGGAGCTCCGATCACGAAAGACTTCGTCCTCAATGGCTCGATGAGCATCACGAGTCACCGGACGGCGGTCGACCCGGTCGTCACCGTCCGCCACCGACTCTTCTCGATGAGTTCGGTGACGTCCACTATCACGTGGAACAACGTCCTCACCAAGGTCAAACCCAACTTCTGGTGAAGTGGCGGGAATATTTCGACTCCGAAAACTCGTGGGAGTTTGAGGCGCCGCTTCGGCAAGATTACCCAGTCGCCGTGGACGCTTTTGATCGGAAAGATCAGGACGTCCCGCACTTTCCGGCAATAGCATGGGGAGTAGAAGGGCCATGAGTTGAGCTCAAGCAGTGGCCCTGAGCTCTTGCGATCGAAGGCTCAGAGCTCGCGGGAGGTTATAGGTTAACCCATACGTCGCAGGGCGACAATCTGAAGGAAGTCGACGGCTTGCCTTGAGTTTGGCAAACTTAAATCGGAGGTGTCGCTCCACACGCACGTTCACTTCCTTGTGGCTCTACTGTAAGTTATATAGTGAGGAAAGTTTACGGTGCCGTTGCAACCATCGCTCAAAGAGCACTTTGTCATCTGTAGCGCTTTTGCTAGGGGCGAGCACTACAGGTATCGTCCGCATTGCGGGTACACGAGAACCACCACGTTAAGCATGTAGACGCATACGATAAACGTCCAGCAAAATTTCTTGTGGGACCAAGAAACGAGCTCGAGGAGCTTCCCTTGTGGCAAGTTCATCTTCCGTTCTGGCCTGGGGCCCGATGATGTGGACGCGTAACAATCGAGTTACCGCGTCCTTCGCTTCCACATCGGGATCCGTGGGCAAAAACCATTTTTCATACGAGGGTCAATGACCGACCGTGAATGGGCGCGCTTTCGAGCCGCCTCATGGGCAGCTTCAAGCTGCCGCCTCTGAGCTTCGTCGAAGTCACTGGTGATTACACCACGTTCCTCGGTTGACGATAAGTCAAAGAACGGATATGGCGTCCGCAAGGCGCGAGAAGGGCTCGTATTACGCTGCTGGCGCAGCTCGCCTTCCTCGTCATCCAATGCGGGAAAAGGAGTGTCAGACTCGTAGTCGACCACTAATAATCCTCGACGAGGTAACTCGTCAATGATAGCGTGCGCGACGCTCGTGCTCATCGAGCCTAGAATGTACACCCCCGGTACCGCGAACGCGCTGTCCGACATCGCACCGCGTGCGGGAGACGAAGTTGGGCTCTGCCCGTGGTCGCTGTCAGAACCAGCGAGACTTGGTGATTTCCGTGTTGTGGACACAGGGCTCATTGAGCAAGGAAGTCGTTTATTCCAACAAATTAAGTTGCAGTGTCTAGCGGACACGCGAACCTTGTTAAGGCAATAATCGATTGGAGCTGTAAATCTAAATGGGGGAGAATGTAACGGGGTTACACGTACATTGATTAAAGGGGTGTGTGTCACACGAGATGAGCTTGGTGTGACTGCACCCAAACAAGAATACGGTATGTGGCTAGGTAGCCAGCAGTGATGCATTTATTTAGCCTTTACTATATATATTTAGTAAATCTCTACATTTAAAATTTAGCGGTTTAGCCGAAGATATAAATAAATAAAAATCAACTTTGAATTTAAACCGAAGAGTTTATTAGCCTTGGTTAAGGCAGTAATTGCTCTTGGAGTTAGCGAATTGCGATCCGCTACACTCGTATTGGGTCTTGTAAAGAATGAAAGGTCGGTGACCTAGATTACGCTTCCTCAAGCGCTAAGCTACGGCAACTCGCTGCACACTTCATACCAAAATATTGATGCTCGCGGGCTTTCCAAAATTGTTATCAGAGTGAGAGTGAAATCCTCATTCAATAAACAAAATTGAGGTCCTACTTCGATAAGATTTCCCTTGAATCAGTGGCTCTTAGGAATTAGCGCACCTTCAAGCTATTGTACCTTTCAAGGGAAAGATAAGATCTTATAGCACAACGCGCCTCCCATACTTTTTCCCAAATTTGTTTAAACATTGATGTTTGACCTTTTGTTCTTTAGCGATCGATATCGACTTATGGCGATGACAAAAACATTGCTTATTTGCTTTTGAGAACTTGAGGTGATGATCATGAATTTCGACATCCAGGACATGCACTAGATTTTGCAATGTTGTGCATTTCGCGTTGCTTCACCCGTACGCCTTCGTCGCTAAAGCTACCTAAAAAGCCGTTGGATGGTTCAAGCGAGGAGTTAAACTCAATTTTTGCACAAATTGAGGGCGACACTTCTTGCCACGTTCGTCAGCATTCAACACCATTGCTCAACAAAGTACGGTTAATATATTCAGTTTTAATTTCTATTAGACTTAATCCGACATACATGTCAGAAGAACCACCCGGGGATTCAGTTACTTACAAAGCTCTAGTTTCCGCTCCTGGGTGGAGCTTATGAAATCATCCTTTGTGCACTTGTTACCTCGAAATCATCAGGCCAAAGTTATCTCTCTGCAAAGGTGTGCACAGCAACCTTGTTGCAATGAAGTTTGTTTCCAGAAGTGCTTTATCTTATTTCATTATGGGGCCGAGAGTTCAAAATCAACATGTTTTGAAAGTATCAATATACAGATCTTGATATTGGGTTCATAAACCCAAGCGCTGGTATATCGTAGGCGACGAATCCCCTTCGATCGTTTGTTGTGCCGCATTGGTTTCGGGTACAATAAAACTCACAATACATTTTCATTGCGCGTTCAAACACCAGCACAAATATCAAATAGTGCACAAGGTTTCTTTCTGAGCCACTACACTTGAGCAAATCCTTCGTGAAGACAATAGAATGCAGACACAACTAAATGGCCGATCGCTGTCGTGGCGAACCATTTCATGGCTTCATATTCACGAGAAATCTGCAAAGCAGCGCACAAAATCCCGGTGACCGTCCGTCACCAAAAGTGTAACTTCACGTATAGACTTAGCTACCATTCTATAATGAGCTACATTACGCGCTAAAAAGACGATCCGCGGTTTTAACACTTGAGCTACTTGCTATATACACAAGTGCAGAAGTCTGAACATCCTCAATTGACATTGAGATAGGAGCATCAACCCGCGCTTATTTCCATCTAATCTGAGGTACTCGCTATAATCCTTATAGAAAGGTCTGCTAGTAAGTACAGTAGTACATTAGAATCAGGTGCTTACAGAACAGACAGCAAGCATGTACAATTTTTACGACGCATTAGATGCCAGATGTAAATGTGCATGTGAGGAGTACTTAAATCTGATGCTTTGTGCTCATTCTTTGCTCGGAACCCACTTCCACAATACTAAATTTGAGTCCAAAACAGAAGAAACCATATTTAATATTCCATGTGCCTGTCACGATGATTAGCCAGACTGCCAATCCTCCAAGACCTACAATAAATGACCCGGATCAGTTGCTGGCTTACTTTCCAATCTGCGTTTTGCAGCGTGTATCCTGCGCTCGTTTGAAATGCCACCAGTGATTGATTTCCAAGTGGCAGTGACCCCCGACGAATCTGAACCTTCCACAACTCAGGCCATTAATGATGACAGACACCGCTCTATTGGAGAATATTGCAGGACGCGGCTCACAACATTAAAGCCTCCTATGACCAAAGCTGAGAGCCCACTCAAGGTGCTGGCGTTGCTTGACCGCATGCAGTGGCTGCACTTTCTTGTCGCTTTTATCGCTTGGTGCTGGGACGCCTTTGACTTTTTCACTGTTACTATGACAATCTCTGATTTGGCAGAAACTTTTGGCAAGACTAAAACTGAAATCACGTGGGGCATCACGCTCGTTTTAATGCTACGGTCGGTTGGAGCCATCACCTTTGGCATTGCTTCGGATCGTTGGGGACGAAAGTGGCCATTTGTAGTCAACAATCTGCTTTTCATCGTGCTGGAATTAGCCACAGGCTTCTGTTCATCATACACTCAGTTCCTGGTGGTGCGCGCACTCTTTGGTATTGCCATGGGTGGATTATACGGAAATGTCGCTGCAACAGCTCTAGAAGATTGTCCTCTTGCTGCTCGAGGCATCGTATCTGGGATGTTACAGCAGGGCTACGCTTGTGGCTATCTTCTTGCAGTCGTGTTCGCTCGCATTTTTGTCAACACTACTAGTCACGGTTGGCGTCCGCTCTTTTGGTTTGGAGCTTGTCCACCTGTTTTTATAATCGTTTTTCGTCTCAGTCTACCGGAGACCAAAGTGTTTCAAGAACGCCAGCGTTTACGTGAAGCGAGTCGTAACACATCCAAAATGTTCGTAGCTGAGGGTAAAATTGCGCTGAAACGCCACTGGTTGCTTCTCTGCTACATGGTCCTTCTCATGGCCGGCTTCAATTTTATGGTACCATATGCTTATTTGTTGAACTTCTGCATTCGTTAAAGTTGTAACCTGACCATGCTATTGTTCATTAACCTCAGTCTCACGGCTCGCAAGACATGTACCCGACGATGTTAAAAAATCAATACGAGTTTAATGCTGACCAGGTCACTGTTACGCAGATTGTGGCCAACATTGGAGCCATTTGTGGTGGCACACTCGTTGGCTACTACTCTCAGGTCTTTGGTCGTCGTCTCACGATTCTGGTCATGACGGTCATTGGGGCTGCCCTACTTTATCCGTATTGTTACACTGGCGACGAGACCGTCATGATCGCTGCCTTCTTCATGCAATTCTGTGTCCAAGGTGCTTGGGGTGTCATTCCCATCCATTTGATGGAGCTTTCTCCGCCGTCGTACAGTGCATTCGTCGTTGGAACGGCATACCAACTTGGAAATCTAGTCTCCTCCGCGTCGTCAACTATTGAGGCTTCTCTTGGTGAACACTTTCCACTACCGGATAGTGAAGACGGCGAGACTCGATTCGAGTATGGTAAAGTGATTTCCATCTTTCTTGGTGTTGTGTTCGTATATGTGTTCGTATTGACACTCATCGGACCGGAGGCTCGCGGCAAGGAGTTTGATGTTAAGCACGATCACGATCTCGACGAGGCAGCCCGGATTAGCCATGATGGTTCTTTATTAAGCGCCACTGAAACTAAGGTTTTCAAGGCATAACTTCTACAGATAAGTCCTGCTGATTGTAGCAGCTGCAGGCAACATGAATAATTTACTTTATACATTAATCAGTCCATGCAAACGAAGTTTGGCTATAACATTCGAAAAAATCTTCAATGACTAGCGCAATGCTGATTAAATTAAATATGCGCTGGTGACAACAAAACTGATGTGACTTGCTAGCTTCTGACTAGATACTGCAACGAATGGTCCGGTCCAACTAAACTTAAAAGCGTGTGGCATGTCATACCTCCATAAACACATGGTGACATTGCCAACATCGCCACCTCTGCTTACTGGTGATATGAAAGAAACGTGATTATGACGACGGGATCGTCATGAGACGATAGAAAATGTACTTGTCTTGAAAAGTAGAGACTGTCGTAGCGATTGGCTCAATGAGGCCATCATCTAGTAGCGCTTGTCCAATAAGCACGGCGTCAATCAGTGAGGTCGTTATACGCATTTCGCGGATAACATTAATGGCTTCAGCGCCTAAAAAGCAGCCAGAATAGCCTTTGTAGAATAACAGCTTGTTTTTGCGCTCGAACACCTTGTGTAACACCTTAGCCAGAACGTGCAATGACTCCTCAGTTACAAGTGCGTGTACTTCGTCTGTAGCTGAGGAGAAGTCATACTCCATTACATCATTAGACTCGTTTGAAAGGACTGATTCACGGTAGTTATTGGCATTGATGGAAGCACGCCTTCGTATGGCTGTGTCCGAGGCGAACGCCTCTGAAAGATCATCGTACTCGAGCACCTTAGTAAATCTGTAGAAGTTATCCTTGGAATTGTGCAGCTGATCGTCCGTGCGAGACACATGCTCGATAAAACCAAGCCTTACCAATACATTTCCATACCTTGTAGCTGTCTGGTGGTCTACAGCAAAACCACTAAGCAGCATTTCTCGAACGGCATCTCCTCCAGTGAAAGCTTCCTTATAAAAATTAAACCTTGAGTGTCGCGTCTTTACCTCTAACGCCGAATTTAAAAAGCGACAGAGCGACTGAAAGAATTCTTTTGGTAGCCCCTCATGGAATGATATGTTAATACTCTTAAGCCTTTCAAGTCGCGCCTCTTTTAATGGCGCAATTTCTTCCACCGTAGAAATGGAGCTTGTGAAAGAGCTGCTAGCTTGATCGTCGTCAAATGTCTCGCCCTCTTCAGCTTCCTCTAGCTCCAGCCTACCCCGTTCATTCATGTTCACACGCGCATGTCTTTTAATTTCATCCTCTCGGTCCCTATCCACGTCGTGTTCATCCTCATCATCGAAGGACGAAGACGAGTGAATCGTAGAATTTGTAGATCGATCAAGTGTGCCTTCTGAGAGAGATGACGTCTCAGTGCTTCCATAACTGGAGGCTGTCGTGGACCGCGCCGTGTGATCGCCAAGCTCAGCGATGCTAGAGCTAACACGTGAGGGTCGTGAGAGACGTTGCGGCTTCCTTTCAAATTGTTTGAAATCAACAAATTCTTCCAGAGACTCACGAATGCTAACAATTTTGTCCAGCGCTTGTGTGGTACGAGCCAGCAGAGCCCGGATATCGGCTTGCGAGGCGCGTTGGTTGCGAGTCAAGTCCAAAAGACTCTGGGCGTGGCCTAGACCAGGTGATAGCGCGGACGGTTGTCCAGCCATGGACGGCGTCGGCTCGATAGGCTCAAATGTATAGAAGATTGAGGAGGTTGGCAAAGGCTAGGACGCCGGTCGGTGCTTCTGTTGGAGGAAAAGAGAACTTGCGTATTGACGACGGGAATATTAATTTGTCCATGTGGCAAAGCTGGCTTTTTTGCCTTTAGAAGCCAGACCGACCTGCCAAACATAGTAGTCTTCTTAGTCATATCTGTTATTAATAGTCAAAGTAAAGTGCTCAAAGCCGATCACAATTCACGGTGTGATTACTGCTCCCACCTTTGCAGAGCGAACAAGAGTTGAGTTGTGTTCATTGTGCGCCCACAGCATCAAGAATCAATTGTAAGGCTAGGACCTGCTTTAGTGAAGAGTGACTTAATATTGTGTGCAATGACAAGCAACAATTACAACTTGATACAATTGATCGCACGTGTATGCTTGCTCTGTCGCAGTCTGGATGGATTGACGACTGTTTCATCAATCATTAATAGTATTGTTGTGCTTTTGTAGAGGATGCACGTCGTTTAATTGTGCTGTCGACTTAATCTGCTCGCAGAATGTTTTTGATACGGACCATCAGAATCCCATTGATGCTTGATATAAATAACAACTGACTTGAAAATCGAGCAAATGAATTGCTAGATGCATGGCCGTCTTGCTAAGTCTACTTTCCGCATCAAGCACACAGACATTTTGTTAAGACATTTATAAGACGGTGACCTATTCTGGATCTGAGCTTTGGCAGCAATCTTATTGACTAGGATTTGGCTTCAAGATCGGTAATCAATTCCAACCCCAAGGAATAAAACAAGATAATTGTTAGGAGAAAGTGGTCAAATTGCGATATCGAAAATAACATGATAATATACCTAAAATATTTTAGAGTATAGTACAGCCTCTGACGCTCCACAGCTGGGTAATAATACCCTTTATCTTTTGCCACGCTGTAATACGCTGAGTCAGCATCTATAACGCATAAAATATCAATAATGCCGAACAAATTCAAAAATAGTTTGTGCCCTAACCGCATTTACTTTCTTAAGAATATTCGAGTTTCTACCGCTCTATTTAAGAGCCAATAGCATGTCATCGATACGCGTAAACAGCGCTACTATGATCATCACTCCTGCTTGAGACAAAAGAACATTTTCGAGCGTCATTATTTGATTCAATCACTAATACACAATTGATGAAGTATAATCCGCACGCTAGCGTCTCCATATCTCAGGATGACGATTCTACTTGCCTCCGCATTGGTGCCGCCATGTTCGATATCACCGGACCTGCTGCTGAAGCTGGTATGTTCGGCTATGCCAAGGTAGGTCAACTTACATCAGGTATTCACATGCGGCTACGTGCTCGTGCTTTCGCGTTTTATGACCCGAACACTCAACAACATTGCGTTTTCGTATGCGCTGAGCTGGGTATGGTATCCGAGTGGGTCACACAAATGGTCGTGATTCGTCTTGAGACACACCCAGAGCTTCCTAATGGCGCCTACAATCGCAAGAATGTCATGATCTCTGCTACTCACACGCATTGTTCACCTGGTGGGCTGTCGCACTACTTCATTTACAGTGTTCACCCACCCCTACACGGTGCAGACCGACAGAACTTTGAGTGTGTCGTCTCTGGAATTGTTGAAGCAATTGTAAGAGCCCATAGAAATCTTCAGCCGGCTGTAATTCGTGTCGCGACGGGTCTTTGCCTTGGTGCGTCAGTGAATCGATCTGCTGACGCCTACATGGCCAATCCAGAACACGAGCGAGCTCACTATGAGTACGATACAGACAAGACCATGACGCTCTGGAGATTTGATGGGTTGGACGGATATCCTATTGGTATGATTAACTGGTTTGCCGTACATCCAACAAGCATGGGCAATTGGTATACACTCATTACGGGAGATAATAAAGGCTATGCAGCGTATGAGTTTGAGCGAGAACAAGGCACAAAACACTTGATGGATCGCCCACGAGCCTTTGTTGCAGCATTTGCGCAGAGTAATGAAGGAGATGTGAGTCCCAATATAAGTGGACCGAGACATCTGTGCGCTCAAAACTTGGACTTTGAACGCATGGTTACTGTCGCTAACGCTCAGCTCAAAACTGCAAGAGAATTGTATGCGAAGGCGTTGACGAATACGCCCATCAGTGGAAACGTCAGATTCGTGCATCAGTACGTAGACTACTGTAACATTTCACTGCTGAAGCGATGGCAGTTGCACGCCGAGTGCCCAACTTCTACATCGTCAGGATGTATTGGAGTATCGATGGTCAGCGGCACTGAATTCGATGGCCGAGGTGTGCCGGTAGTGCCTGAAGGAGTTCGATGGGGCACGTATCCAAAAGTTACTACGCTACCTGAACTCCAATCATTGCAAAAGGAGAAACCAATTATTTTTCCAACCGCGCGCTACGGAATGTCCCCTCAAGTACTGCCACTTCAATTATTCTCTTTTGCTGAGTGCTTGCATATCGCAGCCGTTCCGTTTGAATTAACAACAATGGCTGGTAGACGTCTTCGAGCGTCACTACAAGCCTCGCTGAAATTTTTTTTACCGGAAGACAAGTTTATTCATGAACCCGTGATTTCTGGCCTAACGAATGCGTACTGTGGTTACGTGACCACGAGGGAAGAATACGCTGTGCAACGTTACGAAGGAGCGTCAACACATTTTGGGCCAAATCAATTGGTAGCAACGTGCCAACAATTTGAGATCCTGACTGAGGCTCTGTATAATAAAACAATGCCGACGCATAAATTGCTGCCTAATGTTGTCGTTTCACCTCCAATCATCAAAGGAATGGGGTTGCTAGATTATAACACCCCAGTCATTCACGATGGTGTAGCGTCCGGCGCTTCATTTGGTAGCGTGGTGGCAGGTGGTGATGCGTTATCTGAGTATAGACGGGGACAAATGGTCCAAGTACGCTTTCACGCTGCTCACCCAAAAAATAATTTGCGAACGCAAGGCACATTTTTGGAGGTACAACGATGGATGGCTGATAGTAGTCGTAACGCAGGTGGGGTATGGGTAATCTACCTAGACGATGGTGATATCAACACAACATTCAGCTGGGAGCGCCATGGAACGTTTCGCTCAGAAGTTGCAATTGAGTGGCGTATACCGGAATGCACACCGGTAGGCAAATATCGTATTAAAATTAATGGTGATTATAAGCACTTTGTATGGAGAACTGTCACTTCCTATACCGGGGTGTCGTCTGCATTCCAAGTCGTTGGCCCTACAGCTACTACATGCGCATGAGAGTACTCTTCAATATGGCCAAATACTTTGCGTTGGTATTCAGCAAAATTTTTATTTATAAATCAAAGTGGTGTCCGATGACAGAATCATTTGACTTTAGCTTTCCAATCATATTGCGTCCATAACATCTTGTATATTTTAGTAAGACACAGAAATAATATCGTGAGGTTTGCTAGAAACGCCAAGCTTGGTCTCCTGCAGCTTAAGGGTGATTACAGCATTCAAGTTTGACGAAAAGCTTGTGTTCACGAGGTTCGACAAATTGAGTCGCGATGGAGGACAGCGTTCCTGCTGACAACGAAGGTCAGCAGCCTACTTCGGAATCTATCATGAGTGAGGGGCACTTTGATGAAAAGCTGACATCTAGTATTTCGGAGACTGACAACGATAGTTTTGATGCAAATGCTTTTGCTACTATGATGCAAGAGGAGCTGATAGCGTACAGTGTCTCGTGGGATCCGCTCATGAAAGTGCTGCAAGCTCTTGGCAAATCGATAGCAAGACATCAGAAAACACAGCAAGGTAACGATAGCATAATCAAGAAACTTCAAGATCAGGTCGTTCAGCAGGAACAGCAAGTCGCTGCACTTCGCGATGACGTAACACGTGCCCATGATGATAAAACTCTTGCCGCTGCTGCAATCGAGGCGATGCAGAATCGTGTTGGTGAGCTGCAAAGCCAGTTGGAAGAAGTAAAAGAGCTAGCCCCGGGAGAAGGCAGACACCTGCAACGGCTTGATGATACCAGTGGTCAAAAGCAAGGTGCAATGGAAGGTACACACGGAGTGGACAGTGCACCTTTGGTCGCAGATAATTTACCACTTTCTTCAGGAAAAGATAATCCAACAGAGATCTTTGGACAAGAAAACATCGATCTTAGTAAGAACGGTCCTGTGCCGAAAAGCAATGAGAATGACAACCTACGAGAGAGTAACTTATCACGAGAGAACAGCTCTTCGCGGATAAACAATTTTCCACAGATAAAGAAATCTTCAGTTGCAAATACCTCTGATGGACAAGCATTTGTAACCGTTATGGACCTGGCTGAAGCCAAAAGGGAACTTACAGAGGAATGGAATAATACTTTGGCGAAAGCGCTTGGTCACAATACTTTTGATAAGTCTCACAATTCGGACATAGCTAGCTCACAAACAGAGCATAATGAACAAACTGTTGACAATGGAGTTTCGGGCATCAAACCGCAAAGTCCTAGCGCAAATGAGATGCAGCCTTCGGGGACTTCATCAAATTCTTCTAAAGAGTTGGAGTACAAAGTTGAATTAATTCAGGCTCTGCAGGATGTCTTGAATACTAAACTGTCTGAACACGATCTTATTTTGAACGAGCTCAATAGTCGAATGGGAAAACTTGACGATCCCTCTTCACAAGAGACAACATACTTGGCTAGTCCACAGTCTAGTGAAAATCCCAATGATACCAATGGAGATACAGCTGGTAATTCACTGTTAAAGAAAATGAACGAAACTAACGTCGACCTTGCTCTTACTATGACCAGCATCTCGAACGATATAAAAGAGCTCAAAGCGGTTCAGGACAATCATGACTTAAGACTCCAAAAGCATGATAAAGCTGTGGATAAACACTCCGCCGAGATCAAGGCATTGACTGATAGCCTTGACGATATTAGTGTGCAGCAGCAAACCATTTCTTTAATGTTTACGAGCGGCCAAAACAATAGTAGACCTACGGGTAGTACTGCATTTGCAGATGTGCCAGCTGACGAAACTGTACACTCTGTCAAGATTGCTCAAAAAGCAGATGCAGGAGCTGAAGTGACATCACTACCGCAACTGGATTTGTCACTTGTTTTTACTAAGATTGCCGACCTGCGCCGCTCGACAGATGACTCACTGCAGTCTCTTCAACAAGCGATCAACGATATTACAGATACATCACAAGCACAACAAGGTCAATGGGATGCCTTAATAAACAGCGGGGCGTCTGATAAGCTTATGCGAGCTCAGTTGGTGGAAGCTCGTTTGGCGATGCAAAAGGAGCTTTTGGCTCGAAATCAAGCCTATCAAGACCACTTAAAACCACAGCTGATCGAGTGGCGAAATGCACTTGAGCTGATCGAGGAAAAACTGGTGAAAGGAATGAGCGATGATGAAACATTATACACCTTGCAGCAAATGCAGCGCGGTTACCATCGGACATTGCTTTCGGCAACTATGCTGGCAACCTCACCGCTAATTATGTCAGAAACACTACAGACCCTATCGGACGAAATGAAGCAGCTTCGAGCAGCTGATCGCTCGGAAGTGATGCCCTCACGTCAAATAGAACATCGTAAGCCGGGAGAGCAAGCAAAAGATGGAATTAACAAGGCTGATCGTGGAGAGGAGTTTTTACAGAAGTTACTACACTTGGTCGAAGAGATTGATGCAACTGTCCAAGCGAACCGTAGAACTGAAAAGAAGAATGATCCACTCATGAAGGGACTTGACGCGATGCGTGAAAAGGTTTGCATAGAAACAAACATTGCAATTGACTTGACTTCTAACATGTTTTGTGTTTGATTCTTGGTCGCTAGCTTGAATTGCTATGGTCCATTTGGCACCGAAATTACAACGTTAATAGTATTCAGCCAAGTGAGGTAGTCGCTTTTCGAGAAAACTCAAATTCTAATATTGAAGAAGAGGGTCGTCAGAGCATTTTGCAAGGCAATCAAAATGGACTCCGCGAGATAGAGATGCGCTTGAGCGGTGCGGTACGACGAATTACCGTGGCTGAGGAAGAAATCGAACGATTGAACTTGTTTACAGCTGCACACACTGCAATAAAGCCGGAGGATACCAATATGGTCATGACTAGTCGACGTTCGTCGTCTTCCAACAGTTTGCAGACAGAATTGGTGATGAACGAAGTGGAAAACTTGCGCAGGGATATGCACGACGAAATCGCCAACCTTTTGGGTAAGCTGGAAGAAAATATTGGTAAGGATAATGGCAGCAGCAACAACACCTATCACAGCAGCACTAGCTTAGTATTGCCAGAACGTCGAAATTTAGTAGAGACAGCAGCTAATCACGGTAACGCGTTCGCAACTATGTTTCCCCATCCAATGGGTCAGGGCCTTGACAATAGAGTAATGATCTCGCCGGAAGATCAGAAGCAGTTTTACGACAAATTTATGCAAGAAGTCACGAAAAACGTTCTTAGTATGTTACATTCTGAAAAGGGCACACAACGTGGCCCTGGCGTTGGCGGGGCTGCGAGTGCAAATGTCAATTTTCGTTTGCTGCTGGATAATTTCGCACAGAAAGTGGACGACCGCCTTGAAGATGCTCAAAACATCACAGCCGAGCAGTTAGCAAGGCTTCGAAAAGAGCTCATAGATCAGCTGAAGGTTCGATTTGAGGTGGCGGTACGTGATATCCGTGGCGAGTTGATGCTCTTGCAACCAGTTGATGGCGACTCGACTGCTATGGGAACAAAACCCGTGATGTGCGTGGCTTGCAGTCGTCCAGTTCCCGTATCTTCAATCATTCGTGAAGCTGGGTCACTTACAACTGAAATGGCGAATGTCGAAACAACGATTCCATCCTTCGCAGAAGAGTTTGTAAGACATTCATGTATCTTTTGGATGTATGATTGCGAGATACTGATCCGTTCTTTGGTGTCATACACAGGAATACGATCGCCCCGACGACGACTATGTGTTTCGTGCTGGGTTCAAAATGCCTGCAAATGATAGGTAAGAATGAGAAATCATTTATACAATGGTCCTGCTTCATGTCGAACTAACCGCTTTTTTAAATTTACATTTTGATCAGAAAACTTATGACTCTACCATTCCTGACAACTGCAATGCGCAGTAAAATGGTAGTTAATAAACCAGAAGGGAAGAGAAGACGTCCACCGCGCCAAAGTCATCTAAATCGTGTTGATAACGTTATTCGAGAGGTAAGATACAGCATTTCCAAAACCACATGACGCCGTTGATGGCGAGCGTCATTTCTAATCCCTCTACCCAATTCTAATGCATTTTGTTGAATACTTTTTATGATTGCAAAGGCCATGGAACTTGATCGCGCTTCGCAAGGCCGTGGCGTCGATGCACAGTAGCTTTATCGAAGATTAGTAAATGAATACACAGTAAAGTAGATATACATACTTAATGTGTATACATGATTGAGCTATTTTCCAATATACGGCAGTGAAGTGGCGACTTAAAACAAACAATTATTCAGCTGGTGCATCTCGATGAGAAATACACATTTTCTATACGAGAGTTTTTGAGGCCAGATAGATAATTCAATAAAGATGAAACTTTGTGGCCGTGTCACAGTTACCTAAAGAGAAAGTTACGTACAGACAATTTGCTCGATTTTTATATTATTTGAAAAATTGTCCTTTGACAACGAATAATTAACATTCAGATGTGACTTTAACTTCAAGAGCGCTCAACCTCACCTTCTTAAATCTACCGACTTGTGTTTCCACATAAGGTTTGTGCAAACAAGAGCCCAAACAATTGACTTAAAATCCACTGAGAGTCTGAATACATTACATGATTTTATGAGTATTTTTGTACTATTGTACAAAAATACCCATAAAATCGTATATTTGTGTACACAAATACCCCCTTACTGTGTACACCACCTTACACTTCTGCATTGTGATTATCGGAGTTTTGGTGAGACTCCGTAGAGAGCTCCGTGGTACATATGGGCGATGAGCCGCTCGTCAAGCAATAAATTTATAGTAATACGTAAATTTATTTTTTGTATTTTAGTATTTTTTCTAATATTAGTTGAGTTAAAATTCATCCTAAATTCGCTCGTGGAATATCAGAGCAATCTAAGCAAATAGTTTCGGAAGAGGGTCTAAGGATGTCACGCCTAAATTGAAAAGTATCGCACATTGTTGGCATTTCTCTCAACAGGTTAATAGTGATTAAGTAGTGGAAATGCTTGATTCTAAAAAAAGAGAACATAGGTTGTATCGTTCACAAAGTTGCGCACAACCTTGAGAGCAGAGAGGATCGACTTCTGACGGCTGGGACTAGAATCCAGCGCTCTACTCGGTTGCGCTCCTGACTGGAGCGTAAGAATCCATCCTCTGCGCTTGTCAGCACAGACTCTTTTAGTCAAAAACTTTTCTACGTGCAGAGCACACGGCAATTTAGTTGCACTTGGGAGCTCTTGTAGTAAATTCCACGATTGAGCTGTGAAAGAAATTTATCATCTTTGAGAATAAAACGCTAGTCGTTCGAGTGCCTAATACAGGGACAACTAGACATACTTTGAAATTCATGTCTATCGTTGGACCGACGGGTCAGGAAACTGGCGACCAAAGGGTCAGATTGCAGTGTATGATCGCTTGATGGCGGCTATCAGCATGATCATTCAAGGTGAGGCTTCACCGGGAGAATCAAGCCGGGCGTCTGTGGGTGCACATAAGACAAACACGGCAAGACCGCTGATATTGAGATTCCAGACCTTTACGAACCGAGAAGGTGTAAAATTCTCTTCTCTAGACGAGAATTATTTTCGCATGCTGGAAAGAGAGCATCACCGCATTAAGCTTGTAGTATTTAATCTAGGCGATACGCAAAAGAATGTATTCCAGTGTGCAGTTCCTAGATTGAATATTGCATTCCCAACATGAGCTAATTTGACGGAGGATATCTCGCGGGTGTTCGCATCGCCGAACGGTGCAGATCGGTTGCGCTTCAAATTTTGTGCATCCTTTTAGGGAGGCAAAGACTGGATGATTATGAAAACACTTATCACGGCAATGGTGCTAGACCCTCTACGGGAGTGTAATGGGCTATACTAGACATTTCATGAAGGTACATCTGAGTACGTTCTGTATGCATTGTTGAAATTTATAACTGCTGATTACAGTATGGGATTCCCAAATGCATACGTGACATCCTAAATGAAGTCACAAACATTCTGTATGATACAGAATGCTGGTCCCTAATTGGGGATCTGTACTGGTGACGAGACCGACGTCTCTGTCTTTCGAGGTGGGTGGCGTAAGCCATTCCCTTTTATTTGATACGTTACACGAAAATTGAAGTTTAAGCTTTTCAAAGTACAGGCTCTGTACACCCAAGGTCTTGTATATACGCTGAAGCTGAGGTTCAACCTCCGTACACCATTTATTTAAAAATCAGGAGCCCAACGTTTTATTTGTAAGACATCTGGAAACCCTTGGGTTGTTTGCAATTAGCTAGGAACCATTAACTCAGTTTAATTCAGTTGCGAGTTTGCCTTGAAGGCCTTATATCGTTCATCCTCTCTCCAAGTCGGGCCTGTCCTTCTCACATCACGTCTAAATCTTGTCTCATAAGCGAGGTTGTTGTGCTTCAAATATTGTTTGAGAAAAGTGCCATCATCCATTGGGGTAACAGCAATAGCCATCGTACTGGAGGGACTTCGAACAGGTGCAGCCTGTTCAGAGACATTATGTGTCCACTCAACTATTAAAAAAACGTACATCCTGAACTTTGTGAGGCAGTGGAAATACGGATAGATTTCAAACTGTCATATAATATCGTACGAAACGCGACTGCCTTTAGTACACAGTGGTATAGAAGATGGCAAATTTGAAACGCTATCCATGCGTACAAGCAGCTATCGATCTTGTATGAGACTTCAACATAATGGAAAAAAAAAAACTGCGACGGCTTTGGTTCAGCTGTCATTAGCAAAGTTTGATTAATGCTGGCAGGCAAAAGTGGAAGTGAGCCGCGGTCTTCGAATAAGGCGTGAAGTTGCTGTTGCCCCTCGCGGTCTCCAGAAGGTATCTCGGCGAGACGTTTAATTACGGCTGTAAGCTGAAGTGTCCTGAGATTAGTTTGTTGGGAAGATACAAACGAGTATTACTGTGTTAGGACTGATCTCGAAGAAAGAGCTGCTGCAGCGGGGCTGCCGTAGGTCTTTGCTTAGAGGAGCTAGGCTAAGGTCACCGACCTTTCGTTCTTTCCAAGAACTAGTACAACTGTGGTGGGTCGTAACCAGCTACTTCTAAGTACTAAAGCCTGACCAAGGCAAACACACACTTCTGTTCAAAAACGAAACTGTATTTAATGGTTTTATTTGCGGCAGAGCTGCCAATATCATAGTCTTATGTTTTAATATAGTAATATAGTAATATGCATTACTATCGGCAATCCTGCCACGTGGTGGCTTCTTGTTACGGTGTAGCTACACGACTGTGTGATTACACTAACTGTGTAAACATATGTACGGTCACACAATCCTGTGCGACCCGCCCTTTCTTACAAAGGTACGTGTAATCCCGTCATAGTTGCCCACCTTAGACATATTAAATTTTGCGTTACACATCAATAGCCTTTACTTAGGTAACAATGTTTACGTGACAACCGCTTTCATCTGTAAGAAACAAAAGCTTGATTGGGAGAAAAAGTTTGTTTCTTAATCGGCGTCGATTTTTTGCGTCGGAAAGGCTAACGACATGTGGCGAAACTTGTTTGCATGCAAAATCCTTGATGCAACTCCTATTTGACGCAGACCCGCATGGTAGGATGCACTGTGTGTAGTACACTTGACCATTTTGATGAATGTTGACAAAATGCCAGGCAAGACAGCGATATCTCTATAATTGCAGTGAGTTCGCCGAGTAAAATGCTTTGACAGCAACCGGTTACTCCATAGAATCAATCTGACATGACAGCAACTTTCACTGTCAAATGACGCTGCAATTTACCGCATTGCGCATAAATTACTGCTGACGATTTATTCGTCTGTCACCGTGTCAAGCAGATAAAGGCGAGCGAAGCATCATTTACAAACACTTGCGAGTGGTGCTCAAGGGTTTGTCCCGAAGAAGTTGTTTGCCAACATAGAGTGTGTCTATGGTGCCGACAAGACACATTCTATGTAGCTGCATTGAATGCCGTGTCACTGGGACACATCCCGTGAATATTACGAACGTTGTTTTTAAGCAAGTGATGCTGTCTCAAAGGGACATCAGACAGAGACTTGGCATGGCCAACCATCCGCACAAGTGAAGTGTACTAATTTCCGATACGACTCAATGCTCAAACAAATTCCCATTTAAAGGATGTCAAATGGTGTTGGAGTGCGGTGTAAGAATGCGGCCTGTAAGGCTAAGAAAATGCAAGCTCCAATTCTGGCTCGCTCGAATCCAAATCGACCATTCATGTCATCTGTACTTTCCTCATTTTGCCATAGGCTGCGCTGTTCATCACGCAGATGTCATCAAGCATTAGCGTGTGATCGCACTTGAGATTCGCCAGGCTAAAGATGTAAGAAGAACTGCCTTGTTCATATCGACGATGTACATTTAATGAAGTATACTCTTGTTGAGTTTACGGTGCATCCGCTTGACTAAATGCAGTCTACAAATCGTACCGATTATGTGTCGTTGCGCACCGCGACGTTGCCACCACATCTTTCACTGAAACGGCAAGATGGTCATTTATCAAGGTATAAGCTCGATCGGCTTATTGCAGATGTAATTTTGTGTCTCCCAAATTAAGAATTGACGCATCAAAAATGGCGTCATCGCGTTCTGATGAGGCGATCACTACAGCGTAAAGGTCAGATGCAGCATGTGGTGCAGTGCTGAAACCTTAAAAGAGCAAGGAATCTATATATTCGATAAACCGCATTATTAAATCGTTAAGTAGTTTGTCATGTCGGTCACTCGACACTTAAGATTTAGTGCAATGGCTTATCGAGGATCTCGTGGTATTAGGAAAAGCTTATGTGGCAGCTGCGAAAGAGGATAAACGACTCTTGTGTACTATGCACTAATACTAGATGGGTCAGCACTAATATGCGCTCGTGTTGGAATTGCTGCTAGTCGACGTCACTGATGCTGGCAGGGTGTTAGTTGTGTATGAGCATGACTTAGCTTCTGTTTTCCACGAAATAATAATAATAATACCTGTAATAGAACGAGGGTCTTGCGAACATTGCACAGAGCAAGTTGTGACTCCTACAATCCGTGTTACCAAACGCTCAGAAGTTTGACCCGTGCGCGTTCATCAGAAGCAAAATCGATGGTGACTATTGTAACTAGGTCTATAGTTAGCTCTGGCATCTCAAGATCATATAAATACTTTTGAAGCCCGTATTAAATATGCACGTTTCGTTATATCTTATAATAACTTGTTGTATATTCTGACCTAAAGCTTGCAGCATAGGTATTAAACGGACTCTCCTTCCTCTCGTTTCATCATCGTCATAGTACCGATACTTTGTTAGTAATGGATATTCAATGTGATATTTAAGTGCAACTTGAGTTTCGTACAAATGTGACAAATGTTGAAGGTGCAGTAAATAAGACTGCAAAATTACCCCCGCTTCATCATTCCACTAATGTGTTCACCACATTGGTGCTCACAAAACATCGATCTTACAGAAGTGCGCAAAATGACTGCTCCACGAGTAACTACTGCACCTGTTGTTTAGATTCCTGCTTTGCACCAATCCGTACCTGTTCTTGCAAGCATACGTGCATCAAACAAACATTCAACGTTCAGAAAAGGCACGGCCGAGATGGCCGTTGCGCCCAAAACGGCCGATTTATACTATAGTATGGTCGATTATATTGATTCTCCGAGGACTGGCCTAAAACCCCCACCCCCACCTGCCAGCACATAGCAGAATCATAGAGGAGGCGCTCACTACTTTAGCGTCTTATCAGCACAAGTCTCGTACTTCGCGCCCTTTTCAACGAGTTAAAAGTGTTCTAATACTTCGTGATGTATGTCACGATTATGTTCAACACGTTAATCATCAAGATGAACCGTGTAATGGGGCCGAGTTTGCTTTTCTGCTAACGTGCCGTCTATTGCCCATCACAACGTAAATCGGTCTTATAACCTGTTTCACGTGACAGTAGGTCTCATATGTTCTTCTAGCAGTGACTTCAAAGGTTGACTCTCCCGCGGCTGGCTATCTTTCGGTCCCTCAGTTGTGGCAGCACGTTGATTTTTCAGAGAGGCTTGGCCAGCATCCAAAACCGAGGTAATTCATGGCTCTTTTTGAACATCATCATCGTACTCCCTGACATGAGCATCACCGACACCGCTTTTGAATTGAAAATAGCTCAATTACAGGAAATATTGAAAAAGTAACTTCGTTTGCAACTGAGTTCTCACCATCCGACTGGCTTGTAAGAAGGAGGACGTGACATGACTGACAACTGTAGACGTTCGCCGAGCAAAGGTTCTGCTCGCAATATAAAACCAACTACATTTTCGTTACGATCGTGATTGGTTCAATGTAGCTTGTTACAATTTTTTTGACCGCAGATGCTGCCTGTGAATGATAGATGAATGCTTTGCTCAACAACATCTAAGTATGTGTTTGCCTTCTTCTGGCTTCGGCGTGTTGTTTTTGTATATCCTGGTTCTCTGTTATGCATCACACTTAGCCTCATAAAGAGGTGATCACGATTTTCGCTACGAAGTGTTGCCAGCAAGTAAAATGAAATTGAAGTCCTCGCCCACAAATATCGAAGCAATGTCAATGACTCCCGAAACAGTTTTAATGTAGAATGAGACAACCCAGCGTTAGCACATATTATGTAAGCCAACGTCAACCAATGGGCGCTCCCGCACAGCAAACCGCTGTGCGAATTTTTCGGAGGATTTCCTCCACAGCGCGAATGATGCGTTTCATCTCACCATATGTTTGCGGATAAAATTTTCAATCTATATTTCGAACAACAATAAAAAAATCTCACAGCAAGGCGCGGATCAATGTCCGATACAATGGCTACCGGTAAGTCATTGTGGTGAAAACGTTTTGGAGAAGCAGCTTGGTTGTATTCTCACCGACTACAGTATCGCTAACAGCAGTAATAAGACTCTTCATTCGAGAGCTTAAAAAGGCCGTAATACCGGTATTATCAAACGCATTTTGGAAGGTCTAGAGTTGTATCCATAACAATGTACTGCCAACACCCCGCAAAGGTGCAGACAGGTCAAATCACCACCGCACGCAGCGAGGGTTCAACTTAAGAAGTTCTCACATGTGCGTACATATATATGGTCTCACACTCTAATACATGTTGGGTCACAGGTGCATAGCCCTCGCTGCGCAATATCTCCATTCTGTCTCAAAGTGACCCTCCAGATGGAAATCATGTGCCGCGTAGACCATCCTGCACCCAAACACCTTATCGTGAAGCACCATTGCACGTATGATATCATGTCGGTCCGTGCTGTAATAATGTAAGCCCTGGGGGCAAGGCATATCGCTAAAGGCGTGCGATTGCGTGCTTCGACGACGCGACATCAGAGTGTTCAAATTTCCTGCTCTCAAAAGCTTTCAGCAACGTAAAACATGTTTATCTGACCCATACGCTGCACGTAACGTCTTATGAAATGGCAACGTCTCCAACGAGACATGCGACAGTCCGTAATCTGGCGACGCGACTGCAAATCAACAATCCCATGAAGCTGACGAGGCTTATACCGTACCTCACTGGTTTATTCGGCACGGAAAAAACCATTCTGTCATTCGTGTGAGATATCTGGTGGTGACGTCGCTGTGCGCGATGATGCCTATCCTGGAGGAATCACAGTGCTTTATTTGCATCCCGGACTTGACAACAGCGATTTTCTTGTAGGTAAACCCTTGTCATTAAAACGGTAAATGTTTTCTACCGTACGATCGTGCGTTCAATGCCCAATGGATCTCGCATGAAGTACTACCGCCCAAGCTGAAGCGTCACCAAAGACATGGTGTGTTCGATAGATGCCAGAATTACAAACTGATTTCTTCATGGCATCTAGATAAGCTTGCCACACATGCTTCGTTGGCGCTGACCGGTATTACGCGGAGCTTTAACAAGCGTATACCTTTGCGAGCACAAGCTTCTATCGAATACATTTGCTTCGGTAAACAACTGTTGCACTCGAAGGTGACCGCGACATATTTGTAGAGTGCCCCCAAAGAGAAAATATTGCATGAAAGCTTGATGAGTCATAAGGCTGTATGCATACCTTTTTGTTCCGCGTGGTGTCAACATTGGGATCATAATCTTGTCTGTGTCGACAGCTTAAGCTACTCCATCGTCCGCCAGGTGCATGTTAACATCCATAGTATCATGTGATTCTTCATGTACTCTGAGTATGCCATACACTGTGTTGCGCCAGAGTCAATCAGCAACTAGAGTCTTGTCGTGGTAATACTCGCCTTACCATCAACATAACTAAGGAAATCGCCAAAACGGCTCTCAACCCGAGCAATTATTGCACGCTGCGGCCTGTGTATACGCACTGAAACTAGTTGTAACGGGTACCTGGTAACAGGGGTGTGTGTCACACGAGTTGTGCATGGTGTGACTTCACCCAAACAAGAATACGATATGTGGCTAAGTAGCCAACAGTTATGCATGTATTTAGATTTTTCTAAATATATATAGGAAAATCTAAACTTTTAAAATTAGGATAAAAAATAAATAAAAATCAGTTTTGGATTTTAGTAAGCGTAATCTAGGTCACCGACCTTTCGTTCTATACTTATAACAAGTACGAGTTAGCGGATCGCAATCCGCTTACTCCAAGAGTAATTATTGCCTTCCCAAGGCTAATTGACTCTTTAATTAGCCTTGGGAAGGCTCTTTTGGGCTAATTGACTCTTT